ATCTCAAGAGTCCCTTGCACCCCTATGTTCATCGCAGCATTATTTACAATAGCCAAGACGTGGAACCAACCTACATGCCCAGAAACTGATGATTGGATAAAGAAGATATGGTATATATACACAATGGAATACTACTCAGCCATAAAAAAAGACAAAATTGGCCCATTCACAGCAACGTGGATGGACCTCGAGGGTATTATGTTAAGCGAAATAAGCCAGTCAGAGAAAGATGAACTCTATATGACTCCACTCATAGGTGGAAGTTAGTATATTGACAAGGAGATCTGATCAGTGGTTACCAGGGAAAAGGGGGGGTGGGGGGAGGGCACAAAGGGGGAAGTGGTGTACCCACAACATGACTAACAAAAATGTACAATTGAAATCTCACAAGGTTGTAATCTATCATAACATTAATAAAACAAACAAACAAACAACAACAACAACAAAAAACATTGTTGAAATAAATTGAAGACATAAAGAAAAGGAAAGATACTCCATTCTCTTGGATTGGAAGAATTAATATAGTTAAAATGTCCATACTTCTTAAAGCAATCTACAGATTCAATACAATCCCTCTCCAAGTTCCAATATTTTTCACAGAAATAGAACAAAGAATCCTAAAATGTATATGGAATTTAATCCTAAATAAATCCATTTATATGAAATATAAATCCTAAAATTGATAGCCAAAGGAATCCTGAGAAAAAACAACAAAGCTGGAGGCATCACATTCCCTGATTTTGAAATATACTACAAAGCTACAGTAACCAAAACAGCACTGTTCTGGCACAAAAACAGACACACAGATCAATGGAACAGAATTGAGAGCCCAGAAATAAAACCACACATCTACGGACAGTTAATATTTGACAAGGGAGCCAAGAACATACAATGGAAAAAGGAAAGACTCTTCAGTAAATGGTGTTGGGAAAACTGGACAGCCACATGCAAAAGAATGAAACTAGACCATTGTCTCACACCATACAAAAACTAGCTCAAAATGGATTAGACTTGAAAGTAAGACCTAGAGCCATTAAACTTCTAAAAGAAAACTTAGGCAGTACGCTCTTCGACATTGGTCTGAGCAGCATATTTTCAAGTCCCATGTCTGACCAGGCAAGGGAAACAAAAGAAAAAATGAACAAATGGGACTACATCAAACTAAAAAGCTTCTGCACAGCAAAGGAAACCATCAATACAACAAAAAGACAACCTAACAATTGGGAGAAGATATTTGCACACCGCATATCAGATAAGGGGTTAATATCCAAATATACAAAGAACTCATACATCTCAACCACAAAAAAAGTAACAACCCAATTAAAAAATGGGCAAGAGATCTGAACAGACATTTCTCCAAAGAAGATATACAGATGGCCAACAGGCACATGAAAAGATGGTCAACATCATTAACTATCAGGGAAATACAAACCAAAACTACAATGCAATATCACCTCACTCCAGTCAGAATGGCTATAACTAACAAGACAGGAAACAATAAGTGTTGGAGAGGATGTGGAGAGAAGGCAACTCTCATACACTGCTGGTGGGGATGCAAACTGGTGCAGCCACTATGGCAAACAGTATGGAGATTCCTCAAAAATTACAGATCTACCATGTGATCCAGCTATTTCACTGCTGGGTATTTATCCAAAGAACATGAAAACACGAATGCGTAAAGATACATACACTCCTATGTTCATTGCAGCATTATTCACAATAGCCAAGGCTTGGAAGCAACCTAGGTGCCTATCAAGGGATGAATGGATAAAGAAGATGTGGTATATATACACAATGGAATACTACTCAGCCATAAGAAACGATAAAATCCGGGCATTTGTGACAACATGGATGGACCTTGAGGGTATTATGCTAAGTGAAGCACATCAGAGGGAGAAAGTCAAATACCATATGATCTCACTTGTAAGCAGAAGATGAAAATGACGACAAACAAACACATAGCAACAGAGGTTGGATTGGTGGTTACCAGAGGGGAAGGGGGGAGGGGGAAGGGCAAAAGGGTTGATTAGGCACATGTGTGTGGTGATGGATTGTAATTAATGTTTGGGTGGTGAAGATGTTATAATCTATGCAGAAATCGAAATGTGTAATGATGTACACCTGAAATTTATATAATGTTATAAACCAATGTTACTGCAATAAAAAAAGAATAAAAAAAAAATTTAAAAGATTAAATAAAAATAAATAAAGGGCATCTGAAAAAACAAAATAGAACAAAAACGTGGCCAACATCACAGTAATGGTAAAATAGTGAATACTTTTCTTCTAATATCAAAAACAAAACAAAGATGTCCACTTTAACCACTTCTATTCAACATTTTATTGGAAGCACTAACATCAAAAGAAGGCAAAAAAGCCAAATAAAGTTCAATAAGGAAGACCTAAAACTGTCTCTAGTGACAGATGACGTTGGCTTACATAGAAAGACCTGAGCAATCTCTAAAACAGCTACGATCTCTAGTAGGTGAGTTTAGCAATTTCACAAGATACAAAATTTAGATAGATAGATAGATGATAGACATAGAATAGCAAATGTATTTTTATATACCTGCAGCAAATAATTGGGAAATGAAATTCAAACATGATTCCATTTCCAACAGCATCAAAAAATGTAAAATACTTAGGAATAAATTTCACAAGGACATGCAATGCCCCTCCACTTAAAACTACAAAACATTCCATTAAAAAAAACTACAGAACATTGCTGAGAGAAATTTAAATAGACCTAAATAAATGCTTCTGAATTAGAAACTCAATATTCCACTGCTATATGGTATATTTGAAAGTTTTTAAGAGAGTAGATCCTAAGAGTTCTCATCACAAGGAAAAAAAGCATATTTTTCTTTTGTGTGTATGTTTCTATACGAGATGATGGGTGTTAACTAAACTTATTGTGGTAATCATTTCACAATACGTGTAAGTGAAATCATTATGCTGTACACCTTAAACTTATATGGTGCTGTATGTCAATTACATCTCAATAAAACTAGAAAAAAATTTAAACAAAAATAAAAAACTCAATATCGCTAAGAAATCAATTCTCCCAAAATTGACCACAGCTTCAACTCAGTCTCAATCATCATCTCAGCAAGTTTTTTGCACAAATTGATAAGCAGATTAAAAATTCGTATGGACATGCCAAAGGCCCAGAATAACCAAACAATCCTGAAAAAGAACAAAGTGAAGAACTCACATGACCTGACATCAAGACTACAAGAATCAAGACAGTGTGGTAACGGCATAAGAGTCTCCAAAAAATAAATGGAACAGAATAAAATGCTCAGAAACAGACTGACTTACATTTCCATGAGTATTTGATTTTTTGTCAAAGATGACAATGCAAGCCATTGGAGAAAGAAAAGTCTTCAATACATGGTGCTGGAATAAGTGGATATCCATAAGGAACAAAATCAATTCCAAACCCTACACTATACTATACCTCATACCACACACAAAATTCCATTCAATTAATTAAGATTATAGTCCTAAACGTAAAAGCTAAAACCACAGAGCATTTAAAGACAAGCATAAGAGAATATCTTCATGACCCGCTGATAGGCAAAGATGTCTTAGACAAGTCATAAAGGGTTATTTATAAAAGGAAAAAAAACGATAATTTAGACCCCCATCAAAATTAAAACTTAGGCTCATCACAAGACACCATTGAGAAAATGAATAGGCAAATCACAGAGAAAATATTTTCAAAACATATATCTGACGCTGTATCCAGAACATGTAAAAACATACTTACAACTCAATAATAGTAAGACAAGCAACCCAATTAAAATGGCAAAAAGATTTTAACAGATACTTGACCAAAGAAAATATACAAATGGCCAATACAAAAACGAAAAATCCCTCCACATCATTAACCGCTTTAGAAAACAGTATGAGAGGTTCTTACAAATTTAAGCATACGTCTTATGAACCAGCAGTTCCTTTCCTAGGTATTTACTCAAGATATATCAAAACATATGCCCACACAAAGACTTTTACATGGATGTTCATAGCAGCATTATTCATAATAGCCTAACCCTGGAAACAATCCAAATGGCTGTCAACAGAGGAACAGACAATCTGTAGTAGATCCATACAATGGAATACTATTCAGCAATAAAAAGGAATAAACTACAGAAACAAAAGAATGAATCTCAAAAAAAACCACCATTATGCTACATGAAAGAAGCCTTCTACAAGACAGTACATATTGAATGATTCCATTTACATAAAATTCTAGAACAGGCAAAACTATAGTGGAATAATATCAAAACAGTGGTTGCCAGTGGAGATTGGTAGTGACAGGGATCGACTGGGAAGGGGCATGAGGGAACTTTTAGGGGTGATAGTAATGTTCTATATCTTAGAGGAGTTTGAGTTACACAGATGCACACATTTGTCAAAATTCAGAGAATTTGCACTTAGAATTTGTGCAGTATTCTATATGCAAATTTTATAATTTTTTAACTGTAAAAAAAATATGCTGCTCTCCTGAATTGTTGTCAGCAGGGGTTGGTGGTCTATGGCCCGCCAAAGGCCGAGGTAGCGTGGTGTGGTGGAAAGAGCATAGACTTGAAAGCTAGCCAGACTTAACTCTGAATCCTGGCTCAGCCATTAGGCTGTGTCCTTGGGCAAGTTATTTAACTTCTCTGTTTCCTTATCCACAAAAAGGAGACAGAAGAGCAACCCTCAACATGTAACCAGTGCTCCAAAAATGGTAGCTAATAATAAACTGACATTTGAGTTGATTTGGGGTCACAGGGCCAAAGATGGTATTATTGCCCATCTCATGGACACCACGCCAAGGTGTTAGCCTACTAAGGGTTGGATGTAAATCTTCCCTAGGATATTTGTATTTTCACAAAGTCTCTTGAAATTAAAATCTTTTAAAAAGTACCCTCAACCCCTTCCAAAAAGTAGGTGAATGAAGACTTGAAACAGTGCTTGGCTGATTGGCTCTCAGTTTCCGGAGCGGCACTCACCTCAGGGCCTATGCCTTCTTCGTAGGAGCGGATACTGAAGGCCGTGCCTTCAAACGTGTGCTCCACCCGCAGGACAGCCAAAGCCAGCCTGTCCACCGTCAAATTTGCTGAACTCCCGAAAAACTCCATCTTGTGCCCAGTACGCTCGATTATCTTCAGAATTCTGCAAAAAAAAAAAGCAGGCAGAGCAGAGCATTCCTACTTTTTCAATGTAAAACCCATCCGTCCTCCTTACAAGATTTCCTCAATGTAAGACTTTTGTTTGAGTTTTAATCACCATCTTTATACTGTTTAGGAATTACTAGATAAGAGCACGGGCTTTGGAGTCAGCCAGGCTAAGGTCTAAATCTTAGCTCCTCTAATTTCTAACTGGGGGAGCAAATAAAATAACCTCGATGAGCTTCAGATTCCTCACCTGCAAAGTCAGAGGTAACACTGGTACTCATCTCAAAAGACTGTTGTGAGGATTAAATGAAATTGTTGTATGTAAAGCCAGATCCTGCAGGGCCTCATAGGCCAAGAAATGTGGATTTTATTTTACATTCACTGAGTGGTTTTAAGAGCGAGAGAATGACATGGTCTGATATGCGCATTAAAGATCGTTCTGGCTGCTATACAGAAGAGGTACCACAGAGAGGCAAGAGCAGAGGCAGGGAGACCAGACAGGTTATTGCAGAGGTCAGCTGAGAGAAATGGTGCTGGGACTAGGGTGGTGCTGATGGAGATAGAGAGAAGCAGATGGATTCCAGGAGTCTTTTTTTTTTATTGAGTTAATGATAGGTTACAATCTTGTGAAATTTCAGTTGTACATTAATGTTTGTCATTCGTGTTGTAGGTGCACCACTTCACCCTTTGTGCCCACCCCCCACCCCACCTTTCCCCTGGTATCCACTAAACTGTTCTTAGTCCATAATTTTAAATTCCTCATATGAGCGGAGTCATACACAGATTATCCTTCTCTCGCTGGCTTATTTCACTTAACATAATTCCCTCAAGGTCCATTCCAGGAGTCTTTAAGAGACTTTTAAAAAATTAGGTACAGTGACTCATATCGGACTTGGTTATTGATTGGCTGTGAGGCAGAAGGAGGTAACTAGCATTATTCTCAAGTTTTTTGCTTGAGCACTGGGTGGATGCATTTTCTAGAAATGGAGAACATTAGAGGAGTACCAGGGCTGAGGGAAATAGATTGGAGGTTTGGTTTAGGGTAACCTATTTATCTGGAAAGTCGCTATCATTAAGATTCACTTAGAGTTTGAAAGCATTCTTTGACAATTGGGATTTGAGCAGGATGACCCCATTGCGTTGTACTAATTGAGCTTTCAGGGCACAGCTACCTGACGTTTAAAACTGAGGATGACTGTATGCAAAGGAATTAATCACAAATATTTTAAATTTTATGAAATAATTTATCTTACCAAACTATTAGTACTTACTCATTGCTTACTTCATGCAGATGAGATGTGGAATTGTTTTGCTTTCCCAAAGCAGCATTGATTATTTGTAATATAATCTGGGTTAGATTCATACTTATCTCATCACATTGTGAAATATCAGACACTTTAGAAACAATAATCTTTGTTTCTTCTTCATCCAGAGTGGGGCATTCATTTATCAAATTTAAAATGTGTTCTGCAACTTCATCTGCATTCTCTGGGGAAATAAAATTGAAATGGAAAGCCTGCATTACTTAGTTTTGGCCCATGCTGGTCTGCTCCCTTCTCTTTAATCAGTAAAGGCAGAGAAATGGAAATAGATACCAAGATAACAAAGTTCACAGAAGGAAAACGCTGGACCTCAAGGTCTCCAGTAGATGGAGTCTCAGAAAGTAGCACGCAAGTCAAGTTTTTTATTCATTAAATCCTTTTTTAACGCAACAGGGAAACCTTTTTGTCACTGAAGAATTATCTCGCAATTAGATTCTAATTAAGTTAAGACTTTTGAGTATTGGGTTGAGTTAAGTAGATCCCATCTGTACTCAAATATCAGCAAACACTCAGTCTATGTTTTCGTAATCAAGGGTGGTGATTATGTTTTTCTGTCAAGAACCAGCAACCCGCAGGAAAAAAGTTAATATGGCCCACATAACAATAAAAAGCCAATTAATTTAGGTTTTTTTAGAGAGGAAGAACAATAGACATTAACTCGCTCACTTTTTTCTTCACTTTTTATTATGGAAATTTTCCAACATGCACAAAAGTAGAAAGAATAGTATAATGAATCCCCATTTACCTCATGAATCACCTAGCTTCAACAAGTGTCAATGAAGAGCTAATCTTATTTTATCTACACTCCCGCCCACCTTCCCTGAACCCCAGCTAATTCTAAAGCAAATCCTAGACATCATAACATTTCACCCATAAATACTTCAGTATGCATCTGTAAAACGAAGGACCTTCGTTTGTCATAACCACAACACCAGCATCATGTCTTTAAAAGGTTAGCAATAATACTCAAAATCATCAAATATCCGGTCAGTGCCCCAATGTCCTTAATTGTGTCATAAATGCTTTCTCCAAATAGTTTTTTGTTTGAATTATCACTCACTTTTAAAGTTAAAGGCTTTGTTAAACAAATACAACACAAATTAGATGTTAGTTCAATATAACCCACATAAAGCTGAGCTCCCTTGTGGTGCCATCCTAGCTTAAAGCAGTCACATTCGAGTTCAGTAATCATAATAGTGGAAAATAATTGAAAAATACAATCTATTCAGAAAAATTCCAGAGAGAGATTACACTCAAAACACACTTAACCCGGGTTACATTACAGATAACCAAGTTTGTTTGGGAAAACAAAATAACTTAGCACAAACTTCATTTTTTCTCTCTCTCTCTCTGTTTCTCCTTCTCTTTCAGTGTCCTCCACAGTTGGCAGCATCTCCCCAAATCTTTCTCTTCTACCCCCAAACCCCCTACATCTTTACCCCCAGCACAGCCTGCACAGGCTATTTTTTTCTCCCTTTTCCACTCATTTTCTTGCTTTATTCTCTCTCTCTCTCTTTGCAAATGACTCTGCCTTTGTCAATGTAAATTAAGCAATCCTAACTATGATCCTCTCAATTTCCCCCTCTTAACCATTACCCCAATCTGCCCAACAATGGCTTACACTGTAACTGACTTGGCAAAGAGAGTTCTCCTTGAGATGGAAGGAAGGGAGAGATTGCACAAGGTTGTAATTACTTGAACAAGACTGTAATTGCGTCTCAATTAATAATTTTTCTCTGTTACATCTATCTTCTGGGCAGTTAAAGAACCTGAGAAAACAATAAAACTAGAGATGGAAGAAAAATACAGTGTGCTCACTCACAGATCTTTCTAGTGCTCTTATTAAATTGTTCGGGCTTTGTTGTAAATGGGATAGCCAGAGCTGCCTTCCTGGGGTCATTATTCTTTGGGCTTCAGTGGTGCAACCTTACCTGATGCAGTCCCTGCTGTGGCAGAATGAAAGGAAATCACAGGACAATGGGACGCTAACTATATTGTGGAAAGTAATTACAGATTTTCATCTAGAGTTATATGGTTTTCAAGCAAAATTTAGGACAAATTACACTCGTGTGAAAATTCTAGGTCCCCAAGCAAAAGCAATGAAAGGAATCCTCCTTTATTAGTTGTAGAGTAAATAGATCCCATTGCTTGAAATAGTTATAATTAATCTGCCAGTAATTGCAATAATCAAAACAATAATATCTGTTATTTACCAAGCAATTTCTGTAAGCCCATATTTGAGTTATCTATTGTTGCATAACGAACCACCCCAGAACTTAATGACTTACAACAACAAGTTGTTATTATCCCTTATGGTTCTGTGTATTGTCCGGGCTCGGCTGAGCAGGGCTCACTCGAGTTCTCTGATGTAGCTGCTGTCAGATGGCAGCGGGGACTTGAGTCATCTGAAGGCTAGACGGGGATGGAAGTCCAAAATGGCTCACTCACGTGGCTGGCAGGTGATGCTACCACGGACTGGTCAGGTGGGGCTGTTGTCATTTGGGGGTCACTTGGGCCAGTTGAGGCTGTTCCCTACACATGGCCTCTCCTGGTGGCTTAGGCTCAGTGGGATGCTGGATCCGGCTTGTGGCGTACTGGAGCCAGCTTGTATTAACTTGTGAGAACTAGCTGTTAAATTTTCAGGAATTTTGTGAGCTGGTTGTTAAACACAACCATTATTAAAAATTAAATTATATAAACTTACAATTAAAAACAATGGTGATACTCAAAACTCATCACTTCCTAATTATTTTGCTGCATTTGAATAATCTATCCTCATGTGATTATTTACATCTACTGTATCTGGTTGTGCATCTCTTATCAACTTCATGTTCACTGACTACATTTTGTACTTTGTATTCAGCCACGGGGGGCGTATTACACCAAGGAAAGGAGCAAATGTTACAAATCATTACCTTTTTTCGGTAGAACTGGTTCTTAGGCATTTTCCAGCACACCACTGTTTGGGCTTCTTAGAGCATGGTGTCTGGGTTCTGAGAGGAAGAATTCCAAATGAGAGTGTACCAAGAGAAAGGAAGCAGAAACTTCCAGTCCTCTTAAAAATTAGTCCCATACTTTGCAGTGTCACTACTGCCAAGTTCTGTTGGGCTAAGCAGCCACAAGCCAGCCCTGATTCAACTCCCAATCGGCAAGGAAGGAATGAATCGATGATGGGCATTTTGGAGACAAGATATGACAGCAAGGCATTGTACATACATTTTACCATTTAATCAGCATAATAATCCTATGCAGTGGATACTAATATTATCCGCTTTATACAGATTACGAAATTAAGACACAGAGAGGCTCTAACCCAGGCCTGTTTGATGTCAAAACTTGAGTTCTTCAATAACAATTTCTACTACAGCATCTGTGCCTTTGTCCTTTTTCTCCACGGTGTTGGGGGTTGGAACAGCTGTGTTGGGCAGTTCTTCTCTCTGACATCCTGGGAATTACATTGTTCCCTTTCAATCACGCATTATCCTGCCCTGATGGTGGGATGGACACAGACAGGAGATGGTTTTTGAAAAGTTCAGCCAACTTCATTAAAGTGTGACGCATCTTCGATACCGCAGAAGTAACAAATTTGAGCATGTCAAAGAACCTATAGAACTTTGAAATAAGGGTAACTTTTCTAACCTCTGGTATTTTGGGCTAAATAAAATGAGCATTTTCATGGGGGAATTGATGAGTTTTTCTCCAGCCAAGATATCTAATGCTTGTCAGCAACATTGAAAGCTAAAGAAAATAGTTTTAACGTGAACACGTTTTTCTTTCCTTTACATGGTACTCGTTTTCATGAGCTCCTAACTTACAAGGAGGAGAGAAGGATTCCTCCAAAGCTCATCAACTTGAGAGTTTACTCTTCAGTTAGATGCACTACAGCCATCATCCAACTGTTCTCTTTCTCTGCAGTAGATTTTTTTTTATAAAGTGATTTCTGACAGTTCATTTTCTAAAACTCTCAGCCCGATGCGATGCTTTTGTTGTTATTATGGTTGTTGGTTAACTTTTCCTTCCACAGAGAAAATACTATTAGCATGTCTAAGAAAAATGTGTCATTCAGAGGGAGGGAGGTCAGCATGGAACACAGACCTCTCTATCTTGCTGCCCACTCACTTCAAGCTGACACATTCCCTATTGCCCTGACTCATGATTTCGGATCTAGAAACCGTCAGAGCTATGCTTGCTTTCCTACTTCTTCTAGATATTCCTTGGCAAGGATCTCAAATTTACATCTTCTGCAGAGAAGACAAGTCGAAGAATTTCACTGCCTCAAGGCAATTTAGCTCTTCTGCAAGACACTGGAATGCCTGTGCCTCCATTTCCAACTGTTCATTATGGGAGGGACACACTTTATGCAGGAGAGTCATGCCTGACAAGGTGTGTATAAACTGAAATTCTATAAGGAAAACCTTTATGCATACTTTAAAAATACCAATAAAGAGGGGCAGGACTTTCTTTTTTTTTTTTTAAAGATTTTTTTTCCCCTTTTTCTCCCCAAAGCCCCCGGTACATAGTTGTGTATTTTCAGTTGTGGGTCCTTCTAGTTGTGGCATGTGGGACACTGCCTCAGCATGGCTTGATGAGTGGTGCCATGTCCGTGCCCAGGATTCAAACTAGTGAATCCCTGGGCCGCCGAAGTGGAGTGCACGAACTTAACCACTCAGCCACGGGGCTGGTCCCGAGGACTTTCAGAACGGTGCTGTAAAGAGGAGCTTGGGGAAAAGTTCTCTAAGAGAGACACCTATTATGCGAGCAAAATTAGCAAAAACAATCATTCCAGGTCTCTGGAGATTGATGGGAGGGCTTACAACAAATTGAGATGCATTTATTCAACAAAATCTAAAAAAAAATGGAAGTACAGTAGGAGGCCATGGCATTTGAATAAGGAACTGCACCCATTCCCCACAGGTCTGCCTTGTGGAAGACTTGTTCCATTGGGTTAGGCAGCCAAGTGGCAGTTACCATCTTGCCCAGGTCCCTGGGGTGGAAGAACTATTCTGAGTGGATTTGACAGCCAGTGAACATTGGCAGTTCCCATCTTTCTAACTCTGGGCTGTGGAAGATTCATACCAAGCAGTGGCAGCAGCTTAGTGCCAGCAAGAAGTTCCCCCTCCCTGCAAATATGCACATTGATCCCACTCCATAGGGAAGACCCTGGTGAAGTGCACATTCACCACCACCACCACCACCCCTCAAGCTCTTGCCCTGTTGGACAGATATTTTGCCCAGAGGAGGGTAGGAGAAAGCCTCAAAGACTGGCAATACTCTGCTCCTTCCAAGGGAACAGACTTTAATTGGATCAGACTGTGGAGCAATTTATACCCCAGGTTTTGCCAAAAACAACAGAGCAATCAACTAGCAATTAGGAGGCTAACAGCTGGGTGTAATACCAATAGAGGCAGACCAGTCAGAAGCTCAGTGGGAAGATCAGAGAAAGGGATAGTCAGAGAGAACCCAACTAGAACTGCAGTCATCCCTGGTGGTCAGAGAAATTGTGTTCAGGCCCAAGGCTGTATCTTCTAAGGAGCAACATCAGAGGATGTACACTGCAGGGGAAATAAACTTCACTAAACTAGTCCAGCCAATGGAATTTTTTACAGAAATATAAAAAGCAGTTCTAAAATTCATATGGAACCACAAAAAAACCAAATAGGCAAATCAACCTAGAGAAAGTAGAACAAAGGCATCATACTCCTTGAAATCAAACTATACTACAAAGCTACAATAATCCAAACAGTATGGTACTGGTACAAAAACAGACATATAGACAAATGAAACAGAATAGAGAGCCCAGAAATAAACCCACACATATACCATTAACTGATCTGCAACAAGCATGCCAAGAATACACAATGGAGAAAGGATAGTTTCTTTAACAAATGGTATTGGGGAAACGGGAACTGGATATCCACATGCAAAAGAATGAAATTGTACCCGTATATGACACTATATACAAAAAGCAACTCAATATAGATTTAAGACTTAAATGGAAGACCTGAAACTCTAAAGCTCCTAGAAGAAAACATAAAGGAAAACCTTCATGACGCTGATCTTAGCAATGATTTCATGGATATGACACCAAAAGCACAGGCAAAAAAACCAAAAATAAACAAGTGGGACTACATCTAATAAAAAACTTCTGCACAGCAAAGGAAACAATCAACAGAGTGAAAAGACAACCTATGGAATGGGAGAAAATATTTGCAAACCACATCTGATAAGAGGTTAATTGCCAAAATAAACAAAGAACTCTTAAAACTCAATAGCAAAAAACCCCAAATAACCTGATTAAAAATGGGCTCAGGACTTGAACAGACATTTCTCAGAAGAAGATATATAAAAAGTCAATAGATATACGAAAAGGTGCTCAACATCAGTAATCATCAAGGAAATGAGAATCAAAACCACAATGAGATATCACTTCATAACTGACAGGATAGCTATTATCAGAAGTCAAGAGATAACAAGTGTTGGCAAGGATGTGGAGAAAAGGAAACGCTCGTACACTGTTGGTGGGAATGCAAATTGGTAAAGCCATTATGGAGGTTCCTCAAAAATTAAAAACAGAACTACCATATGATCCAGCAATCCCCTTGTGTGTATATATCCAAAGGAAATACAATCACTATCTCAAAGAGGTCTCCACTCCCATGTTCATTGCAGCATTATTCACAATAGTCAAGATATGGAAACAACCTAAGTGTTCATTGACAGATGAATGGATAAAGAAAATGTGATTGATGGATAGATAGATAGGTAGGTAGGTGGGTAGATAGATAGATAGATAGATAGATAGATAATGGAATATTATTCAGCCTTTAAAAAGAAGGGAATCTTACCATTTGCAACAACACGGATGTACTTTGAGGGCATTATGCTAAGTGAAACAAGCCAGACACAGAAAGACAAATACTGCATGACCTTACTTACATGTGGAGTTTAAAATAGTCAAACTTACAGAAGCACAGAGTAGAATGGTGGTTGCCAAGGGCTGGGGGAAGGGGAAATGAGGGGATACTAATCAATAAGCATAAAGTTTCAGTTAAGCAAGATGAATAGTTCTAGAGATCTGCTGTATGACTTTGTATCTACAGTCAATAGTAATGTATTATAAACGTAAAAAATTGTCAAGAGGTTGGTCTCATGTTAAGTGTTCTTACTACAAAAAAATTAAATTAAAAGAAGAAAGAAAGAAAGTAGATTAAAGGTTTCCAGGGGTGAGGGGGAGGGGGGAATGGAGAGTGACTGCTAATGTGTATGGGGTTTCTTTTTGAAGCGATCTAAATGTTCTGGAATTAGTAGTGATGGATGCACAATCTAGCAAATATACTAGAAACCGTGGAATTGTATACATTAAATGGGTGAATTTTAAGATATGTGAATATCTCCATTAAAAAATGTTTTACACAGGGGCTGGCCCCGTGGCCGAGTGGTTAAGTTTGCGTGCTCCGCTGCAGGCGGCCCAGTGTTTCGTTGGTTCAAATCCTGGGTGCGGACATGGCACTGCTCATCAAACCACGCTGAGGCAGCGTCCCACATGCCACAACTAGAAGGACCCACAACGAAGAATATACAACTATGTACCGGGGGGCTTTGGGGAGAAAAAGGAAAAAATAAAATCTTTAAAAAAAAAAGTGTTTTACACAATCCTAACAAAACGAGTAAAATGTCTTGGAATAAATTTAACCAAGGAAGTGAAAGACCTATACAATGAAAACTACAAGACTTTCCCGAAAGAAATTGATGACGACATAAAGAGAGGGAAAGACAGTCCTTGCACACAGATTGGAAGAATAAGCATAGTTAAAATGCCCATACTACCTAAAGCAATCCACAGATTCGGGGCAAGCCCAATCAGAACCCCAATGACATTCTTCACGAAAATAAAACAAAGAAGCCTTAAATTCATATGGGGCAACAAAAGACCCTGAATTGCTAAAGAAATCCTGATAAAAAAGAGCAAAGCTGAAGGCATCACAATCCCTGACTTCAAAATGTACTACAAAGCTACAGTAATCAAAACAGCATGGTACTGATACAAAAACAGGTGCACAGATCAATGGAACAGAATTGAAAGCCCAGATATAAAACCATACAACTATGGACAGCTAATCTTCAACAAAGAAGTCAAGAACATACAATGGAGAAAGGAAAGTCTCTCCAACAAATGGTATTGGGAAAACTGGACAGCCACATGTAAAGGAATGAAAATAGACTATTCTCTTATGCCATTCACAAAAATAAACTCAAAATGGATCAAAGACTTAAAGGTAAGACCTGAAACCATAAGACTTCTAGAAGAAAATATAGGCAGTACACTCTTTGACATCAGACTTAAAAGGATCTTTCCAGACACCATGTCTTCTCGGACAAGGGAAACGATAGAACAAACAAGTGGGACATCATCAGACTAAAGAGCTTCTACAAGGCAAGGGAAAACAGGATTGAAACAAAAAGACAGCACACCAACTGGGAGAAAATATTTGCAAATCATATCTCCTAAAAAAGGGTTAATCTCCATAATATACAAAGAACTCACACAACTCAACAACAAAAAAATCAAACAACCTGATCAAAAAATGGGCAGGGGATATGAACAGACATTACTCCAAAGAAGATATACGGATGGCCAATAGGCACATGAAAAGATGCTCATCATCGCTGATCATCAAGGAAATGCAAATCAAAACTACACTAAGATGTCACCTTAAACCTGTTAGAATGGTTATAACAACCAAGACAAACAATAACTAATGTTGGAGAGGTTGTGGAGAAAAAGGAACCCTCATACACTGCTGATGGGAATGCAAACTGGTGCAGCCACTATGGAAACAGAGTATGGAAATTTCTCAAAAAATTGAAAATAGAAATACCATATGACCCAGCCAGTGGCATACTCCACTTTGTGTCTGAAAAGGGAGGGGGAATATATTTGTATGAACAGAATATGTGTATATTTCCTTATAAATGCATAAACCATCTCTGCGGATAGTAACTGAATGGCTGGGTTCAGCAATGGGAAGGAGGTGTTTTACTGTATATCCTGTTTTGTTTTTTTTAATATTGGACTATGTGAAGTATTATCTACTAAACCTTTTAAAAATGGAAAATAATTAGCAAAAACTTATAAAATAAAAAACTTTATAAAACAAATTAAAAACATTGATAGTCTTAACTTATCGTGTCCCACCCCCACCTCCACCAATATTAACCACCTAGTTTCTGAAATTGGATTGTTGTAAGTTAGATTTCCCTACATGAGGTTTGACTGTACTCTCTGGTGTCAGGTCAAAGAGACAAACTGAGTGAGGTTCCATTATTTCTCAAATGTGCACAGAACAGTCTTACCGTCACTTATAGTAATATTAGCAAGATCCACAATATTATTAGGAAGTCCTTGAAGCAACTTGCATTGTTTAAGCTTTGGTTTTTCCCACTGAGATTTGCCAGTGTCGATACTGACTGAGCTGAAAAAGAGAGGAGAGAGGAACCAAAAGCTTTCTCATTGGAGGATGAGGCCAGAATAGTCATAAAGCAAACGGTGAAGGAACCCGGCGTATGTTTGGCTTGCCTCCCCTTCACCCACTGCCAGCCTCCTGGCTGAGATAGCAAAGGCAGGAGCCCAGTGTTTGTTAAGTGAAGAAAACTTTGCTGTTGGGGAGCAAGCGAATCTGGGGTTGCCACGCAGGAGGTGTAAACAGGCAAGAGAGCCCGAGATGGGGCACAGCAATGTCCAGGGGACCAAGAGTTGGGGCAGAGATCTTGCCCCTCTGGACACGACTCTTTACCCTCACTTTCCCTTCTTAACCCCATTTTAAGAGGAAATTCCTCTTAGAATGTGGTCTCTCTCTCAACATATTAGTTTACTCAAGGCAATTAGTATAGAAAGCTCATTGGCTCCACCTTCCCCTGTGCCTCATCCAATTCAACCCAGCTCATTTCAAGTCCGCTAACACATTTATTGAGCATCCACTATGTTCTCAGACTGGTATTAGGTAGTGCAGACAAACACAGCAGGATCTCAGCTCTCGGGGAGCTTGTCACTTGGTGGTTTGAGATTGTAAATGTAAACTACGTTTGCTAGGGAAGATAGGAGATGAAAAGCTGTAGAAACAAAACTGAATCTATCAAACCTCCAAGCAAGGAGAACTTTTATTTGCAACTTTTGAGCTGAGCTGGGCACTGAAAGGACAGAGATGGAGAAGGGTAACCCCCATACCACCAAACCAGAGCAAATAGCGCAAGCAGAGAAAGAGACGCAAGGAAACACCCAATTAGTCCCTTTTTGGCTGGAACACACAATAAAGAAGCGAGCCTGTTGGTCTTGAGTACTGTATTTAGGGGTTTGGACTTAATTCTTGAGGTCATGCAGAACCAGAGCAAGAGAGTGATGGCAACAATACTTTAGGAAAATCACGCTGGCAGCAGTACAGGGTATAGCTGGGTGGTAGCGGACAGTTAGAAGGCAAGGAGACTGCTCTGACAGTAGGCAAGAGACAGTAAGAGGCTGCCCCAGGGTAGCAGCAGTGGGATTGGAAGGGAGAGCCTGGATGTGAGCCGTGATTGTGACTGTAAAAGCCGCGTGATTTGCTGACTGATTAGATGCAGGCAGGAAGAGGTAGGATACAATCCAAGATGTCGCCTTCCAAAAGAGAGCTTTTAAGCCTCTGTCAAAACCTGCTGGCCCTCTGGTCTGCCCACTTAAGTTAATGGCATAAACCATTAACAGCAGAGAGTAAGAAAAAGGGGCTGATGGTTTTAAAAGGGAAAATGATAAAGTCAACAATAGAAGAGTAATTTAGTAAATTATTATGGCCCATCAACGAGGTAGCTTCTGAGGCAGTTTTTCAAAATGGTCATTAAGAAGATGAATGTAAAACATGGAAAATGTTTGATAAACCACTGAGTGAAAGGCTAAATGACACTAATGATATAAGGATGGCGATTACCACTACGTAAAACATAAAGGCACTCAGTGAAAGGCCAGATGAAACAATACATCAACCTAAAAACAGCTGTGTTCAGGCGGTGGGATCATGGGTGACTTTTTTCTCTTTGTCCTCTTGAAATTCTTTTCTAGAATGTTGTTGTGTTGCATGTGCATGCTTAAGTAGGTCCAAAAGGTGAGAGAAAGAAAGACAGACAGTCGAGGCGGAGGGAGGGAGCAGGCTCAGAGAAATGACACAGAAATATGCCCCTAATTAAGTAGATCTTTGTGTATCTGAACTAGCAATTAGAGCTTGGCCGGTACATACCAGATTCGAATAGCGTTTCCATCCTCATTTTTTATGCATCTAGTTTGGGCTGTCTCCGTAGGATTGGTTAAGAGCCACTCATATGTCCCTTTGTATTTAGAGGCTGTTTCATCGGCTTCGCACTTTCCTGGCTCTACAGAGAAAATGAGCGCACGTTTTAAGGGCAAAAGGCACTTAAAAATACCATGAACATCCATTACAACCCATCATTATTACCCTGCGCATAAACATCAGCAAATAAAAGAGGAAATCTTTTCGACCAGGCCATTTAAACCAGGCTTCACTGAAAATAGCATTAAATGGAGTCTTTTTTAAAAAATAAGCCTCTCAGTACAATCTCACATTTAGTCCTTTTCATTAAAACCACCCGTGGACAGAACAGTTTTTTTGTTTTTAAAAGTGATACACATGCATTGAAAAGAATTCAAGCCACACAAAGGGGTATAGAGTAAAAATCAAAAGTTCTCACCTGCCAATTGCCCTCCTTCCGAGGTACCCACTGTTAATAGTTCGAGGTGCAATGACAGGAGAGTAAAGGCTCGCTTCTCTTTCTGGATGGCTCCTCCCTTCTTAATGGACTCCGGAGGAGATTTGACTTTAGCAAACTTAATGTGTCTGCCGTCACCAACATAGACCTGGAAACTCTGTTCTGGCGTTGGTGCTGAGGGCAAGATTTTGCTGCCAAATGTTGTCACAGTAAGGGAGATGTGACCTGGGCCAAGTTTGTGTGGTAAGTTCCCAGATTTTACTGACCACTCACGGCATTTGTGACCCTGATTTCAGGAATCTTTCCCTCAGGTGTTGAAGGGCCCAGAGAAGTGGCCCAGCCAGCCCTGCCCAGCCAGCCCAGTCCCCTCTCTGAGTGAGGATGAGAGGGGCCTTCTGGGCACTCTCAGGACACATTCTCGAGCGTCACTCGCACGGCGGGCTCTGCCTGTGGCTTCAACACTTCTCTGCCTTCCATCTCACTCTCATCCTTTAACAATCACAGCCTGCCCTCTGCTACTTAATTATTTTGTTGCCAAGGATTGTGGGTTCTAACGCCTATTCGTGTTATCTGGGTTAGCTCGATGTTTTTACTTCACTCTATTGGGGAAAGGGAAGAAAGTTGGCAGCAATGAGAAGGAGGCAGAGCGGCCTGGTAACCTTTCTCTTTTACCTTTAAAGGCTTGCTAATCTAAAAAGAAAATGCCCATGAGAGAAATTCTGGACTGTTCCCAGATCACTTTCCAAGATGAATAGCTAGCTAAATCAATCAATAAATTAGCAAGTATCTATTGGGCAGCTATTATGTGTAATGAGGAAGCTCTCCAGGGCTCTGGATATTTACACAAGAAAGACAGTCCTCCCATGCCATTCATGGACTGGCCACGCTGATATCCAGAGCTGATTAACAGTCTCTGGTAACCCCTCTGGCACTCTGTTTTTTGGTAATCTCTTTAAAGGTAGAAAGGTTGTTAGGGCAAGTGGGCACCGAGGATATGAAAAGGACCATGAAGACAACGTCTCTCCCCTCTGAAGTCAGGATCTCTTACTAGGTATGCATTATGAGCTTTATAACAAGGGGAGTGAATTCATATGGAAATACCCCCCTCCCCGAAATTACCTAGTTTCTTCACTACAACGTGTTCAGACTTTACTAATAACGTCAATTGATCTTGTGTGAAGTTTCCATGCGTGAAGTTGCCATGTATTCTACTTTTGATCCTTCTAATCAATTCGACAGGTGCTAAAGAAGAATTGGCCTTTATGATGACCTGACAAACACAGCTAAAAAAGCAGAGCAAAAAAGAAAGATGTTGCAGTTATGTCAACAGAGCGCAATTTGGCCCGTGGTACTAAAATTCTGTACAGATGAATTAATTGGTAGTCCATAAATGTTAAACACTTTACAGCTATGAAGTGGCAAATCTTAAGAAATGATGGAAGACAGCATATTGAAATCTTCTGATAAATTTTCTCCCATCCAAAACAAACAACTCAAAATCCATTTTCAAAAGAACGGTCGGCAACATTTGCCTTATGTTGAAATTGACTAGCCATGCAATTTCTCTAGGAGTTTGTGATAATTAATAGAGAGGATAGAATATTCAGGATTTATTACTACAGAGAGAATATTTTATCTTTCTAGTCTCCAATTTATCCATTGTTACTGCAATAAGGCAAATAGGCACATGCTCAATTAGTCTATAAAGATGTATTCTGCAGAAGGTCTATTTCTATAATAGAATAATAATGATGACAATGATAATGATAGTAGCTAACATTTGTAGAGCTCTTTCTTCATGTGTTTGACTCATGTTATGCTCACAACAACCTTATGAGGTGGTGCCATTATTATTCCCATTCTACAGATGAGAGAACTGAGCCTTAGCCAAGGTGACAAAGACCTAGTATTTCATTTCTGAATATTCTATCCTCCAAAAGATATGTTTCAAAAGAATAAGGCTGTCCTTGACCTCACCCTCTGTAGCGCAATCCTCAAACACTCTAAATTCCTCTACTATTCCATTTCAGAGCACATTTCGGATTCACAAACTTACTTATACCTTTTCTCTATTTACATTTGTAGACACATCTTCATGAAGAACACATTTGTTCTGTTTCCTACTGCTGTTGAAAGTTAGACGTGCTTGTGTTGACTCAAAATTTCTCTCTATGTCTGATCTCAGCCGTGCCTCCCTCTCCACTGAGCCATATTTGGTGAAATACCTGCTCATCCTACCCATTCCATTTAGAGGCTCTCTCTTCTCAGCTCTCATCTTTCCAGTCTGAAGAGGACGCCTCATTTTTAAACCTCTCCTCTTGCTACAACAGACTCTCTACTTTTAGTACCCTGAACATTTCAATGATCTTTCCATGAGCCTTCTTTGGCTATATGTCCTTCTTGAGTTGAGTCAAGCAGACCAACGACAGCCAGTGTTCCAGGAGGAGCTGGATCACGGGTCTGAACAGGACTGAGGCTGCTTTCTGTGTTGTTTTTCAATTTGCTTGGTCAGTATTTTCTGGACTTTTTTGATGACAACAACAAACGTTTTATTCCCTCATCCCCAAATTATGACCACTTTGGACTCTATTTTCTCTTCACTACAAAGAGGCAGCTGGCAGGCTGCTAGGCTGTGCTGTGACCAACTGAAACAACTTATTTCATGAAGGTAAGAGCCCAATTACAGCATCTGTAAAACAACCACTGGATACTTTGATCTCCATCTGACAACTCTGACCAACAGGCTGCACATACAGAATTAAATGGAAGGAAAATCAGAACTAAATGTACCAGCTATGAATAAACTCAGCTCCTACCTGTATGGTACATGGGAAATTGTAGCCATTCCTTGCCCTTCTCTCTGTTCCAAATAATGCAAAAGAAAAGTACATAGTCACTGAAATCTTTAAACAAACGTCAAAATTGAGTACAGGGCTTATTGTCGACAACAGCAATCATAATTGTACTTTACATTTATGAAACCCATTGCCATTTGCAAATCACCTTCAAAAACATCAATGCGTTTAGTCCTCACATCAACCCTGTAGGATGGGCAATGCACGGATCGTCACCCCATTTTCTTGATGAGGAAGCTAAGTCTCAGAGAAGTTAAGTGATCTGCCCAATGTCGCACAGAGCTAGGAGCAGAATCTAAACCTTCTGGATCTGGATCCTGACATGGTGATGACAATAGTAAACACTAACAAGCATTTACTACTCTCTGTGTCTTGTGCTAAGTACTTTACATAAATTATTCCATTCCATCTTTCCAACAGCCTTGTGAGGAATGATAATATTGTTATCCTCATTTCACAGATGAGGAAACTGAGGACAGAGAGGTTCATTAAGATGCCCAAGGACTCACAGTCAGGAAGTGGAAGAGCAGGGACTCCAATCCAGGCAGCCTGACTCTGGGGACCATGTGATCACCAAAAGGCTTTTACATGTATTATTTGAGAGCAATTTTACTTATGTCATGTTATCTATAATGTATTCAATAAAAAAATTCTAACTCAGCTATTTACAGAAAGTATTTTATAGAATTTTTTTTTTCGGGAAGATTAGACCTGAACTAACATCCACAGCCAATCCTCCTCTTTTTGCTGAGGAAGATTGGCCTTGAGCTAACATCCGTGCCCATCTTCCTCTACTTTATATGTGGGACTCCTGCCACAGCGTGGTTTGATGAGGAGTGCGTAGGTCCACACCCAGGATTATGAACCAGCACACACTGGGTGGCCGAAGTGGAGTGTGTGAACTTAACCGCTAAGCTACTGGGCTGGCCCCCAGAAAGTATTTTAAATAATTTCCAATTTTAAATAATTTTTAAAATAATTTAAAACTTAAAAAATTAATTAATCTTTTAAAATTTCCAATTTTAAATAATTGGAAATTCAAAAATTTCCAAATTTTAGGGGCCGGCCCCACAGCCAAGTGGTTAAGTTCGCACGCTCTGCTGCGGTGGCCCAGGGTTTCGCCAGTTCGGATCCTGGACGCAGACATGGCACCGCTCATCAGGCCATGCTGAGGTGGCATCCCACATGCCACAACTAGAAGGACCCACAACTGAAAAAAATACACAACTATGTACCGGGGGGCTTTGGGAGAAAAAGGAAAAATAAAATCTTTAAAAAAAAATTTCCAAATTTTAGATAATTTGGAATACACCATAGGCTTGATTGCATTTTGTATAGTCAAAACATTTGTCTCATATTTAAATACCTTAAAAGGTGTGTGTATACTATCCCTTCAGAGTCTAACATTGCAAAATTTCAAGGCCCTGGAATAAGTACTGAGAATTGGGGCAAGATGATGGGAGATCGTTTTGTCACACTCTGACTTCAAATCTATACAAATAGAGGGTGAATTTATTATGTGAATGCCAGTCTTCCAAAAAATTGTGTTACTCTTGGAAGAATCAGGCTTTTTTGCAAGATGTCTACAATCAAGAAATTCCATTTAGTATTTACAATCCCCAAGTCATTCCAACACTCCCATAGCCCACAAAATTTGCCTCAAAAAACTGCCACCTAGATAGTTCAGAAAAGCAAAGGACAGTTTTCTTCATGGGTTCTTGTGCAGATCCCAAAAAAGGTGATGTAATTTGACCCTCAGTTCTCACAACTGAGCCTTGCCTGATAAGACAGACTTGGGCGGAGGAGCTATTTACTTACATCTGATCAGGTATAGGATGGCTACAAGTAGATTCGTTTCGAGAAATTACTTACAGAAGTTTGGTCCACGATTATTTCTTCTCCCACTTGCTCAGAAGTGTCTCTGTATCAAAAACATCAAAAAATTTTAGAAAAATGAAATATAGTACCAAATGCACAAGGGCACAAATTCAGGAGAAAGACAACTCTGAGGAAGAACAGTAGACTCTCCCAGCTGGAAATTCCAATAATACTAGGGATTCAAGAATACACTTCCAAAGAACTTGGTCATTATTTGGTAGGCCTTTGACTCAGCAATCCCACTTCCAGGACTCTATCTCATAATAGTACCAGCAAGGGTACATAAAAATAGATGTACAAGAGATAAAGATATGTAAGAAATAAAAACTATACATCTCCGGTTAAAAAAAAATATATATATATATATATATACGTACAAGGGTGGAAATAACTGAACTGTCCAGCACCAGGTAATTGGCTAACTACACCATGGCACACCCACACAAACGGATCCTATGCAGTAATTTAAAAGAATAACCTAAGTCTGTATATACCGGTCTGAAAGAAATGTACATGATGTATTCTAAAGCGAGAGAAGAAAGTCGTAAAACAGCATGTAGAGTAGGATTCCATTCTCTTAGGAAATGCATGGCAACAAGTCTAGAGGAATATGTGAAATAAGCTATTAACCAGAGCTCTTGGAGGGGTGGGGAAGAGTGGGTTTCTGGATATTTTCACTATCCATGTTATCCATATTTCTGTAAAGCTTTAAGATTTTACACTGGCCACATGTTACTTTTGTAATGGGGTAAAATAATAGACGCAATTTTTTAAAAGAATGTTGTACACTTCAGACATCCCCAATTTTCTTTGAATAAGCTACCACGGATTTACTTCCATTACTTTCTATGAACATTCTTGAACCTATTTATATTTGAACATGCAATAGAAACCGAAATCCCAGTGTATGGAAAATAGGCAGTCACATTTAATGTTTTAAAAATTAGCTTCCCATGGTTTACCAGAGCCATGCCTATTTTTCAAAGGGACTCTTCTGGATGTTTCTTTAACTGGGAACTAATAATATATGCAGGGAAAGAGTAAAGGAAATATTTCTCAGATGACCAATTGCCTTTGTCTTGGTCTCCTTGATACTACTCAGTGCCTGCTGATTTCACTGCAGCCACCTCTCCACATTTGTGCCCCAGGCGTGGCTTGGACTCGTCAGCATTCCTCAGTTTAAACATTTCAAGTTCCCTTTGGAGTTTCTAATTCCTGAAAACGCATTATCCAAAAATAAAAGGCCTTACAAATCTTCATGTATTAGCCATCCTTAGGCTGTCATCCCTTTAAGGCATGATTTTTTTCCGGAGTCACAGAATCATAGCGTTTTAAAGTCGAAAGGGGCGTTAGAGGTAACTGAGTCCAATTCCACTGTTTCCCCTATTTACTTTCTTCTGTTTTGTTCTCCCATTGGCTTTATACCCCACAGTAATGATAGAAGTTTCTTCCTCATTCCAAAGAGAACCTACACTCAGAAAGGAAGCCATAACTCAAAAAGCACCAGTCCCTAAACCTCAGACAAAAGCAAAGAAATCCCCTTTGGATAGGAACAGACCCGGAATGCCCTCAAACTGCACTTCAACCCACAGTAGTTGACACTCACATACCTGCTTTTAATTTGAATAGCCAGATTAGCAAGAGCAAATTCACTGTCCTGAAAGATAGAATTCAACTGTAAAAGACAAAACATACCAGTTTTAGTATTCCTGCTCCTCTAGCCTAACCCAGCAAAGTTACCTGAGACTATGAGATCATTAAACTGCATTCATTATTTCAATTGGTTCAACATTTCCATATGCTCCACTCAGTTTTTCAATTTACATTTTACCTACTCTCATGGAGTGAATTGTGTCCCCCACCAAATTCATCTTGGGAAGCCTTAACTCCCAATGTGCCTGTATTTGGAGGTGGGGCCTTTAAGGTTGCCATTAAAGTTAAATGAGGTCATAAGGGTGGGGCCCTGTTCTGATAGGACTGGTGTCCTTATGAGAAAAGGAAGAGACACCAGAGCTCTCTCTCTACCCACACAGAAATAAACCCCATGTGAGGACACAGTGAGAAGACAGCCATCTGCAAGCCAGGAAGAGAGGCCTCACCAGAAACCAACCCTGCTTGCACCTTGACCTTGGACCTCCAGTCTCCAGAACTAGGAGAAAATAAATGTCTGCTGTTTAAGAGACTCTGCACTCTGTATTTTGCTATGGCAGCCCTAGTGGACAAATACACCCACCCATTTTCAAGTACTTATAATCATGTCATACACACTTGAAAATAAATGCCGATGGGGGCTGGCCCTGTGGCCGAGTGGTTAAGTTCGCGCGCTCTGCTGCAGGTGGCCCAGTGTTTCACTGGTATGAATCCTGGGCGTGGACATGGCACTGCTCATCAAGCCACGCTGAGGCAGTGTCCCACATGCCACAACTAGAAGGACCCACAACGAAGAATATACAACTATGTACCAGAGGGCTTTGGGGAGAAAAAGGAAAAAAATAAAAAATCTTTAAAAAAAAAAAAGAAAAAAGAAAATAAATGCCGATGAAGAGAGAGGGGAAACAGACAGGACCACATAGCGATAGCTATTAAAATGTGAAACGTTCATGTCCTTTGATCCAGCAATTCCAGTTCTAGGAATTTATCCTATAGAAACACTCAAATGCCCCCAAAATTTATTGTATGGGTATTATTGTCAATATTTGTTTCCAAATAGGGAAAAAAGTAGAAACAACCCAGATGTCTACCAATGGATGCCTGTATTTAAAAAAAAGTACTATAATGGGATCCAGCAAAAGTCCTAAGAGGTCCAAAAAAGGTCCTAAGAGGGCAATTTATAGCAATACAGGCCCCAGTTAACAAACAAGAAAAAGCTCAAATAAACAATCTTAAATTACACCTAACAGAATTAGAAAAAGAAGAACAAACAAAGCCCAAACTCAGCAGAAAGAGAGAAATAATAAAAATTAGAGCAGAAATAAATGAAATTGAAAGAAAAAGACTGTAGAAACGATCAATGAAACTAGGAGAAGTTTCTTTGAGAAGATAAACAAAATTGACAAACCCTTAGCCAGACTCACTAAGAAAAAAAGAGAGAAGCCTCAAATAAATAAAATTAGAAATGAAAGAGGAGAAATTACAATGGATACCACTGAAATACAAAATATTATAAGAGAATATTATGGAAAACTATATGCCAACAAACTTGACAATCTAGAAGAAATGGATAAATTCTTAGACTCTTACAACCTCCCAAGACTGAATCAAGAAGTAGAGAATCTGAATAGACCAATCAAAAGTAAAGAGATTGAAACAGTTGTCAAAACCCTACCCAAAAATAAAATTCCAGGACCAGATGGCTTCTCAGGAGAATTCTACCAAACATTCAAAGAATACTTATTACCCATTCTTCTCAAACTATTCCAAAAAATTAAGGAAGATGGAAATATTCCTAACACATTCTACAAAGTCAACATCACCCTGAGACCAAAGCCAGATAAGGACAACACAAAGAAGGAAAGTGACAGGCCAATATCACTGATGAACATAGATGCAAAAATCCTGAACAAAATATTAGCAAACCAAATACAATACATCAAAAAGATCATACACCGTGATCAAGTGTGATTTATACCAGGGACACAGGGATGGTTCAACATCTGCATATCCATCAATGTGATACACCTCATTAACAAAATGAGGAACAAAAACCACATGATAATCTCCATACACGCAGAGAAAGCATTTGACAAGATCCAACATCCACTCATGATAAAAACTCTCAGTAAAAAGGGTATAGAAAGAAAGTACCTCAACATGATAAAGGCCATATATGACAAACCCACAGCCAACATCATACTCAATGGGAAAAAACTGAAAGCCGTCCTTCTGAGAACAGGAAGAAGACAAGCATGCACACTCTCACCTCTCTTATTCAACAAGAGGTTTTGGCCAGAGCAATTAGGCAAGAAAAAGAAATAAAAGGAATCTAAATAGGCACTGAGGAAGTGAAACTCTCGCTGTTTGCAGATGACATGATTTTATGTATAGAAAACTCTAGGGGCTGGCCCCGTGACTGAGTGGTTAAGCTCGCGCACTCCGCTGCAGGTGGCCCAGTGTTTCATTGGTTCGAATCCTGGGCGCAGACATGGCACTGCTCATCAAACCACGCTGAGGCAGCGTCCCACATGCCAGAACTAGAAGGACCCACAATGAAGAATATACAACTATGTACTGTGGGGCTTTGGGGAGAAAAAGGAAAAAAAATAAAATCTTTAAAAAAAAAGAAAACTCTAAAGAATCCATTGGAAAATCATTAGAAATAATCAATAACTATAGCAAAGTTGCAGGGTACAAAGTCAACTTACAAAAATCAGCATTCCCATACTCAAATAAAAAACCAACAGAACAAGAATTCAAGAATACAATTCCATTTATAATCGCAACAAAAAAGAATAAAATATCTAGGAATAAATTTAACCAAGGAGGTGAAAGACCTATACAAAGAAAACTATAAAATATTACTGAAAAAAATCAATAATGACATAAAGAAATGGAAAGATATTCCATGCACATGGATTGGCAGAATAAACAGAGTTAAAATGTCCATAGTACCTAAAGCAATCTACAGATTCAATCCCAATCAGAATCCCAATGACATTCTTCACAGAAATAGGAAAAAGAATCTTAAAATTCATCTAGGGCAACAAAAGATCCTGAATAACCACAGCAATACTGAAAAACAAGAACAAAGCTGATGGCATCGCAATAACTGACTTCAAAATATATCACAAAGCCATAGTAATCAAAACAGCATGGTACTGGTACAAGAACAGACACACAGATCAATGAAACAGAATTGAAAGCCCAGAAATAAAACCACACATCTATGGACAGCTAATCTTCCACAAAGGAACCAAGAACATACACTGGAGAAAGGAAAGACTGTTCAATAAACGGTGCTTGGAAAACTGGACAGCCACATGCAAAAGAATGAAAGTAGATCGTTATCTTTCCCCATGCACAAAAATAGACTCAAAATGGACCAAAGACTTGAAGTTAAGACCTGAAACCACAAAACTTCTGGAAGAGAATATAGGCAGTACACTCTTTGACATCAGACTTAAAAGGATCTTTTCGAATACCATGTCTACTCAGACAAGGGAAACAAAAGAAAAAATAAACAAGTGAGACTTCATCAGACTAAAAGCCTTCTCCAAGGGAAAGGAAATCAGGATCAAAATGAAAAAACAACCCACTAACTGGGAGAAAATATTTGCAAAACATATATCCAATAAGGGGTTAATCTCCATAATATATAAAGAGCTCACACAAATGAACTATAAAAAAACAAACAACTCAATCAAAAAGTGGACAGAAGATATGAACAGACATTTTTCCAAAGAAGATATACAGATGGCCAATCGGCACATGAAAAGATGCTCAACATCACTAATTATCAGGGAAATGCAAATCAAAACTATACTTAGATACCATCTTAGACCCGTTAGGATGGCTATAATCACCAAGACAAAAAACAAGTGTTGGAGAGGGTGTGGAGAAAAGGGAACCCTCATACACTGCTGATGGGAATGCAAACTGGTGCAGCCACCGTGGAAAATAGTATGGAGATTTCTCAAAAAATTAAAAGTAGAAATACCATATGACCCAGCCATCCCACTACTGGGTATTTATCCAAGGAACTTGAAATCGACAATACAAAGAGACTTATGCACCCCTATGCTCACTGCAGCATTATTCACAATAGCCAAGGTGTGGAAGCAACCCAAGTGCCCATCCACGGATGATTGGATAGAGAAGATGTGGTGTATATATATACAATGGAATACTACTCAGCCAGAAAAAAAGACAAAATGGTCCCATTCACAATAACATGGATGAACCTTGAGGGCATCATGTTAAGTGAAATAAGCCAGACAGAGAAAGAGAAACGCTATATGATTTCACTCAATCATCTGGTAGAATCCTGTGCACCCTGTTAAAGTGTGTGAAGTACATCTATATTCACTGGCATGAGTGCGCTCAAAGATACATGATTAAGCGGAAAAAAAGCAAGTTTCAGAAGAGCAGAACTAGCATGATTCCAATTATCTTTGTAAAAGAACATACACGCATCAGTGTTATTACATACATAGAAAAAAATCTGAAAGAAAATACCTCAATATGTTAAAAGAGGAGTTAATACAAAGAGCAGAATTAGAAAGGATATTTACTTTCTGGGTTTCAGAACTCAGTGTCAGAATTTTTTACGGTGTGTATTACTCTTATTATCAGAAAAACAGAAGGATGAATAAAACATGTATTATGTAAGAGAGAGAAAAAATTAAAATGCAGAAAACAAAAATATTTAAATACAGAGGCATAGACTTTGCTATCACTGCTCTCCTACTTTCTCCAAATAGGAAAATTAGGCAAAGATCTAGAGTTTGTGTCAGTGGAGCAGATGTACAGTGCTAAACAAATTAAAATAACAGCATTCCATAAAAGCTTTTAGCACTGGCACTCTGAAAGAGAGACTGCATACATCCTCATGGTGTTGCTTACAGAATGGATAGATTTGCAGCAAAAAAATCAAAACTAGACAAAGGGTTAATCTCCATAATATACAAAGAACTCACACAACTCAACAATAAAAAAATCAAACAACCCAATTACAAAACGGGCAGGGGACATGAACAGACATTTCTCCAAAGAAGATATACAGATGGCCAATAGCTCATCATCACTAATCATCAGGGAAATGCAAATCAAAACTACACTAAGATATCACCTTACACCTGTTAGAATGGCAAAAATATCCAAAACCAAGAGTGACAAATGTTGGAGAGGCTGTGGAGAAAAGGGAACCCTCATACACTGTTGGTGGGAATGCAAACTGGTGCAGCCACTATGGAAAACAGTATGGAGACTCCTCAAAAAGTTAAGAATAGAAATACCTTATGACCCAGCCATCCCACTACTGGGTATCTATCCTAAGAACCTGAATTCAGCAATTCCAAAAGTTCCATGCACCCCTATGTTCATCGCAGCACTGTTCACAATAGCCAAGTCATGGAACCAACCTAAGTGCCCAGCAACTGATGATTGGATAAAGAAGATGTGGTATATATATACAATGGAATACTACTCAGCCATAAAAAAGGACAAAGTCGTCCCATTCACAACAACATGGATAGACCTTGAGAGTATTATGTTGAGTGAAATAAGCCAGACAGAGAAAGACGAACTCCGTATGACTCCACTCATAGGTGGTAGTTAACATATGGACAAAGAGAACTGATCGGTGGTTGCCAGGGGAAAGGGGGGTCGGGGGAGGGCACTAGGGGTGAAGTGGTGTACCTACAACGTGACTAATAATGATGTACAACTGTAATTTCACAAGGATGTTAACTTTCATAACCTTAATAAAAATAAAATCAAAACTAATTAGCTGTGAAATGTATTATGGGTAGAAAAACGTAGAGCCTGGTTTTGATCTACTCAGTCTTTGTCCTATACATATATATGTCAAATATATATTCACATATTTTAAGTGGCATAAATATTCAAAAGATTATTTTACCCAATTTTCTGCAAATTCATTCACAACACTGTTAGCAGCGAGCCTTGGCTCATCATCAAAGACAGAGAAGCTCATTTCAATGTTGTAGAAAGTAACTGTAATTAAAAATAAAGAGATTAATTTTATTCATTTAGTTCAAGAAATTTAACTTCTGTAAATTCAGTCAAAACAGGTCTTCATTTTAAAGAAACCAAACAATGAAGTCTCGTTCTTAAACTCTGCTCAGTTTAACTCCAAGGTCAAGAACCAGCACTTTCAGCTCCTTATCCAAAAGCAAACAGGAGGTACCATTGCATTTTTGCTTTAGTTATTTGGGCAGTTCCCTAATTTCTACACAGTTGATGGACATTCTGCAAATCCCCCAAATCTTCAATTTTCATTGGCCAAAGGATTTCCAGTCCATTTAATGGCCAAACTGAACATTATCTCAGAAGATCACTTGTACTGAGAAAATATTTATTTCTCCCCGTGGTTTTCTTTCTGCTTCTGGTTTTTCTCTCTTTATTTCCCTCCTTCTCTTGTCTGTCCTATCAAATTTCAATTTTGGAATGTTAAAAGTTGAAGGAACATCCAAAATTTGAATGATACAGAAGCCAAATACTTCCTGGCCACAGATAAGCATTCCAAGCCCGCTGGAGGTAGAGACTGGAAAAGGCTGAGACCTGAATAAGAAGAATTTAAAAAATCAGGCTGGAATATCTTCTGATGTTTTCTGGTACGTAATCAACATGTCAGACCTAAGGCCATATAATCCTCCTACTGGGAAAGGGGGGAGAGTTCCTGACCCACGTTCACGTTGGCAGCGTCAGAGTCAGAGTATCAGGAACCAAATGGGTATAAAGCAGGCTTAGAAATGTCATACTGACTGAAAAAATACATTTGCATTGTATTTCAATAAAGCAAAGATAAGCAAGACGGCTAGAGAATTCTGTGTTTGGACAAGATACTCATAGTATCCACTGTCTAAAGGAGATAAGATACACGTATACCCTTATTCATCCTTTTCTGCCTTTAGAGAACAGGCCACCTTGGAGAACACATGGCCCATTGTGCGTACATTCTATTAGTGATACACTGCACACATTGTGGAACATACCTATGGATACAGTGGCAATAAGCGAAGTTGATGTTTCCATAAATAGAAAGGAAGATGTGGAGTCCAGCCAACTTGTCCCAAAAGAGGAAGAAAGTAGTGAAGACACAGTTGCTGTAAAAGGATGTGTTACTCCAGTGGGTATGAGTGGAAATGAGGCTCCAGTAGCAGTAGATGAATTGATGGTTATATTTGGTAGGGAGTCCACTGTGGGCTTGGGAAGAATTAAAGTAGGGGATGCTGATGCCGCTGGGATTCTGGTCTGTGCAGATGTTATTGTAGGGCTAGACAGAAGCATGGAGCCAATAGATAGGGTGTGGTGAGTTGTAGGAGGTGACCTACTCATTCTGCTAAAGGATGGAGGTTGAGACACACTCCTGAAGTTGGCAGGCATAGTGGTTCTATAAGATGCCTCAGGGGATTTGGAAATGTACACACTGTCATCTGTGATTTTTACAGATACGGGGAGAGAAGTTGGCAAGCCAGTAGTGACACTGCCCACTGTAGGTTTTGGAGTGGTTTTGGTGAGTATGGTGCTTACAGTAGCAAAGGGTAGTGTTGTAAAGTTAGTGAATGGATGTGTTGGGGTTATGTCAGAAGTCAGAAATGTGGATTTTGACCCCTGTACTGTAGAGGAAGTTATAAAGTGAGGAGTATTGGATACAGTTGCCAGAAGGGAACCTAAAGGGGGACTAGATAAGATCCAGTTCAGCATGGGTGAAGTAGTAGCCTTTGAAATTATAGATCCTGCAGCAGCACCAGAAGAATTCAATGGAAATGTGGTTCCAGGAGTTACAGATGTGGTTGTCTTCTCAAATGCGTGCTTAATGTCAGCCAAAGTGGTAGGAATAGATCTTGAAGATATTGATAACGAAGGACTCTCAGACATCCCCAAGGTAGAAAGAATTCCTGATGTGGAAATTGATGATGTTGCCATAACATCTCTAGATACAAGACCGGTCTGAGAGGCTGTGAATGTTGATAAAGACCCAGGACCAAGGTATGGCGTCTCTGTTTCCATCATGTTGGGTGTAGGTACATGAGTAGTGGTAGAAATTGGAAATTGGGAATCTTCAGCTGTGGGTGTGTTCCAGGAAGTCATAAGTGGAGACTGGGTGTCACTAGTTGTGGTTCTTGTTTCCAGAACTGGAAATTCAACCATTTGGGATGTAAGAGGAAGAGAAGTCTTTAGAGTAGAGACCTTGGCTTCACTACTATGAGCTGAAAAAAGAAATGATGTCAAATAGAGTGGAGTTGCACTGGATGGAGTCCCTGGAGGGTATGAGACAGGGGTATTCACAGATGTGGCACCTTTTGCTGGTTCATTTGTTGAAGTATTTTCTGACAAAGAAGTCATCTTTTCTGTATTCAAAGAAAGGTAATTGGTACCTTTTACAATTTTTGTGGGTCCAGGAGTGCTCTTAAAGCTAGTCAAAGATGGGGAAACCTGAATATTCAAAGAAGTATGGAGATTATCTGAAGGAGTGGATAAAAACACACTTTCAGGGGCAGCAGTTCTGGAATAAGTATTTGTGAGAGCTGTTACTCTACCACTGCTTACAGGAGACAGGGAGCCGTTAGTGATCCCGGATAGTATGCCCAGAGTTGTAGCCTCATCTCCTTGTGATGATTGTTGGGGTGTTGATAGCAATGGTGAAAATGTGGTCTTTGGAATGGAAAAAACAGCTTCAGTGTTCTTAGAACTGAGTAGAGAGGAGGAAGTGGTGCCTACAAATGGAGTCACTATCCCAGCCATAATAGTGGTTGGAACGGTTTTCACAGACGGAAAAGTTGGCTCTGTTGGAGAGGAAAGGGATGCAGGTGTGATCCTGGAGGACACCTCTGTCATTTCTGAAGTAGTGAAAGCAGAGGAAACCATTGTGCTTTTTGAAGCAGACCCAGCATATGTCACAGGTGTGGCATCCAATGTAGATGGCTGTATGGTCATAATAGTCTTGGGGGTAATTGAAGACAATAAAGTAGAGAATGATCCAACTTTTATGGAAGGGTCAGAAGAAACCGCTGAGAGTGAGAAGGCAGAGTCATTAACTGACAGTGAAGATATCTCGGACACAGGCTCGGAAGTGGATCTAGAAGTGGCTATAGAAGAATTAGTCATTAGTATCGTGGGAGTGTCAGAAACTCTTTTGGAGGTCAAGGCAGTTATACTAACAGGCAGTGAGGACATTCGGTAGATAGGAATAGATGTTTCTGTAGAGGTTTTCCTAAGAAGTGCCGTAGGTACATTTGGAGCAGAAAGCGCTGTCGTGACCTCGTCAGTAGAGGTAACTGTAAAATTGGCACTAGATAGTCCAGTTGTGGAAAGAGACGGGGACTCAGGAGGGGTCTGTGTGCTTTCAGAAATGGTAGAGCCAATTAAAGTCACCTCAGGTTGAGTCCTAGGTGAAAGCAAGTGTGAAAGAGTTGTGTTGATGTTAATAGGATTTGATATTCTGGTTGTCCTGGAAGTTATGATATCTACAAATGAAGTATCCTGGTGGTATGAGAAAAGGTGGGTCACGGAGGTGGACCTTACTATCATTTTCTCAGTCCTGGGAGTGTATACCGAAAGGGCACTCATGCCTTCCTCTCCAGGAGACAAAAATGTGGTAGTTGGCAGAGCTTGTGAAAGGAGATCTGTTTTCCCAAGACTGGTAGACATGTCTGAAATGTGTATGTCTATTGTGGTACCTGAGGTCAAGATGCGTGTAGCCTGCATACTCCCAGAAGTGGGAGATGAAGCCAAAATCCTGTCAGGTGGAGTCGCAAGTGGAATCTCTGAAGGTGAATGTGTTTGGTGACTGGGAATTTTTGTGGTCTCAGTAAATCCTATATCTGTCATTTTGGAGGATGGAGTACTCTGGGAGTCTGAAATCAAAGGATTCTTTGATGGGGACATTTCTGTCACCTCCATAGTTCTAGGGGTGTTTCCCAGGGAGGTGGTCATCTGCTCTTTGTCAGGAGATAAGGTAGAAATGTCAGTCACTAATAGGGTGGGGACCTGTGTGTTTACAAGACGTGTGGAAGATTGAGCAATGTGACCATCTGCTGAAGTAGTAAGCTTATTGGCAGAGGTGTGTGAGGGCATGGTCTCATCAACAACAGAAGTTTCTGTGGGGCCAGTAGCCAAACTAATGTCTCCACTACCACTGAAAGTATACGGAAAGCCGAGAGCGTGGGCAGAAGTCTTCTTCACTTGAGATATGGGTCGGGTTGCTACTGGTGTAGACATAGTTGAGATCACATGAGTGGAGGATGCAACAGGAATGTTGTCAGGGAGAGATTTGGAGCAGGTAAGAGTGGGTGTGGATGGGGTTACTGTGTCAGCTGAGGTGGAGAGAAGGGTGGTCTCAGCCTTAGTTGCCACAGGAGTGAAAGGTTTCAGCGAGGGGACTGGAGTTTCTGTCAGAGAGGGAACTGCCATGGATGTCCTCCTGACAGAGACTACTGTGGCCTCTGAAGTGGTATGAATCGAGTCTCTGTGGGTAAGCACGGTATCGCTGGTTGTGGAAGCAGTCTGATCCAACGGTGGCACAGATGCTGCAGTCACTGTAGCTGATGACATAGTTGAGACATCTGAAAACATAGACGTGGAGGAAGCCTCCACCAGTGTAGAAGGTTCAGGCATGGTAACCTTAGTCTCCTCAGGCACCACCATAGAGGTGACAGCAGAGACATTAACTGGTAGTGAGAAGATATGGGTAATAGGCAACGTGGCTGCTGGGGAACGGGTAGCTGTAGGCTGTGGAGGCAAGGTACCAGCCAACAAGGACATAACTGTCCTGTCTGTAGGGATAGTGGCAAAACTGGTCCCCAATATCCTTGTGGTGGAAGAACCCAAGGGTTCAGGGAATGTCTGTGTGCTCCCAGAAGTGGGAGATGGAGCTGGATTCCCCTCAGATGGAGTCTCTGAATTCCAATTTGCTGTGTATGTGTGAGCGGAATTAAAAGTTTCTGTAGTTCCATTACGTGAACTCTTAGGTGTGGTTTTCACCAATTTTGTAGAAAGCCAACTTCCTCTCACCTCAGTAGCTGCAGCTTTATTATCCAATGGGGTAGTCAACTTTCCTATATCGGGAAAAGGGGAAACAGTGATAGAGGCTGTCATCATTTGTGCAGAAGGATCTGTTGCTTCCAGCATTGTTGCAAATGGAAAAACCTCAGTTATTGCTGAGGTTCCCTTAAGATAATGGGAAGTTGTTTCTTTCCTTGTCACAGTAGCGTCAAATCTTTGTGTTGTTGCAGACTCTGGTGCAGGGGCTGTTGTCACTCCAAATGCAATTGTACCATTTGTCTCTGTTTGTATGGTCTCAGAAGCACTCTCCTCAGTAGAAAAATTTGGTTCAGTGTCAGCAAGGGTAGATAGTGTATCTACTGGTGGAGCAACCGTCTCCCTTGGTGCTGAAAGAAGTTCATTTCCAGCTACTGTGGACATAGTGGGGATTTTTAGTAGTAAGGTGGTAAGTTTAAACTCAGGCAGTTTGGTTACAAATGTGGTTCCAGAAACTGTGGAGAAATTAGCAAACCACGGAGATGTCAATTTGGATAGAGCCATTGTGTATCTGTCTATAGTAGCATCAGCAGTAATGATAGCATCAGTGGTAGTGGCATCCTCACTCTCTGCGGATGCTTCTGGTGGGATGATAATATTAGCAGTTGTGAATGAATTTTCTGTATTAGAAGTACTCCCATGGAATACTGATGTCAACAGGGTCTCATCTGGCCTGGAAGTCCAAGTGGTCTCATTGGTGGAGCACAGATGGGCACCTTCATCTGTTATTGATGTGGGACCAGACTCAGATACCTTGGAAGTGGAAGTTGATCTAGTGGAAATCAAAGGAAGCATGTTTCCACCACCTGTGGATGTATTCTGAGTAAGTACTGGCCCAGTGATTGTAGGGGAAAGCACAGTTTCAGTCACTGTAGGTGCAAGTGTGATTCCAGGAGTCAAGGCTGTATGTGTAGTCTCAGCATCGATAACTGTCTGTACACTCTGAGCTCCGCTGAATGGAGAGGATGTCCTGAAAGAAAGGGCCATAGAAGAGGCCTCTTTTGTCATGAAGGTAGATATTGTATCCTTCACTCTGGGTGAAGAGACATCCTGGAAATTTGTAGACTTCAATTCTATTTCAGCTGTTCTTAGCACAGGCGTCGTCTCAATAGGCTCAGTTGGGAGCGTCATTGAATGAGCTGTAAATGCTATTTCCATATCAGTTGTTGCCAATGTAGATGCCGTCTGATTTCTAGGAAATACAGACTCCACTGGAGCAGCTGTGGAGATGAGAACAGACTCAGTTGGGAATGCTGATGTAGTCCCAATGTGAGTAGTTGTAGCTGAAGTCTGTTCCATCGTGGCCCAAGGTACAGTTCCAGCAGTTGCAGATACAAGAAATTCCTGGCTACCTGTGGAGATAGGGAGATCCCCAATATCTGTGGATTTGAGTTTGGGCCAAGATGATGTAGGCATAGATGTCGACTCGATAGATGAGAATAAAGATATTGTCTTCATAATGGCCGACTGAGATTCAGTCGCTAAAGTTTTGGATACAGTTGAATTCTTGGTAAATCCAGATGTGTATAGGAAATGAGTAGCTGTAGTTCGATGAAAAGCCTCAGGAACGATGGCTTCAGCCATTTTTGATGTCCTTGTGCTCTCTGAAGATGGGGATTTAGTTATTTCCATGGAATTGGTAGTAGTGCCTCTGGAGGTACTCTTGGTCGGCAGAGCAATGGCTGCTGAAGTAGACAAAGCATCTGCTGCCAATGTAGCTGTCTCTGCTATGGATGTCTTTAAAAAATTTGGCGCAGTCATTGTTTCTAGAAGCGGAGGTGTTGTATTGGAATATGATAGGGTTGTATGATCAGTTGCAAATACAGGCATGCTTTGGGTCATCGCTGAAGAAGAATATACAGTCTTTTGCGGTTTGAGTCCAGTAACTTGGGGTGGAGTTGTCAAATCTATTTGTTGTGAAAGAGTTGTACTTGTTTCTTGAATTGTCGTATTTTCAGAAACAACTGAAAAATTAGAAAGCACGTGTTATTTTGAATTCAGCTTTAGAAATCAGAGAGAGTTCTTTAAGAAAGAGTTCTCTAATTTTTTCTCATATTTTTAATAAGAGGTAAGTATCTGATACAATCAAATCACTTGATTACTTGGTTTTTCTTAAGATGATTTTTGACTTTCTAAAAATCTCTATATGGTTCTCATAACACCCTGTTTAAGTAACAAGGAGGAGAACATCCTTTCCATAGTGTCTCCATAAAAAAATATAGGCACTCCTAAAAGAGGGGTGCATGCTAGAGTAGTGCACTGATTAAGAGGATTAGCTTTGGGAAATGGACCAATTTCTTGAAAGACACAAGTTATCAAAACCCACTTAAGAAGAAATAGATAATTTGAATAGTCCTGCATCTATTAAAGAAGTTGGATTTTGTAGTTAAAAACCTTCCAACAAAAGAAGACCAGCTTTGGATTCAAATAGATGTGGTTTTAAATCCTAGCTCCTTCAGTTACTCATTATGTAACCTTGGACTAGTTACTTAACCACTCTGTGCCTCAATCTCCCCCTCTGTAATGTGAGATAATAACACCTACCTTTTAAAATTGTTTTGAGAATTGAGTTAATGCATGTCAAACACTTAGCGTAGCACCTGGCACACAGTAAGTGCTCAGAAAATAATAAACTGTTGTTAATAAAGGCTTGCTGGGTGGGGGGAGGGCACAAAGGGTGGGGGGGTGCACCTATAACACAACTGACAAACAATAACGTACAACGGAAATTTCACAAGGTTCTAAACTATCATAATCTCAATAAAAAGTTAAAACAATGAAATAAATAAAGGCTTGCTATTTTAGACTTGGTCAAATTTTTATGACTCATCTAAATAGTATAGATTGAAAATCTTTTGATCTGGAACCCCAAGATTAAAATTTCTTGATCATGCACCACTGATGTATTTGTATTTGTTTATCAATAATGTATACATATAAAAATTTGTATTATGTACATTATAAATATGCACAAAAATAGAAATGTCAAGAGTATGATAAAAATAAATTTAAAAAGAAGTCTTAAAACCTTTTCTTCCTGCACTCTAACGCATTGTCTGTGTACCCTCTAGAATCACGCACTCCACTTTGAAGACCACTAGAGCCTAGCTTACGTCTCGGTTCAAGTCAGTTAAATTCAACAAGCATTGTGAACGCCATTCTAGGTTCTGTGAGAAATGTACAGCTGTCCCTTGGTATCTGCAGGAGGATTGGTTCCAGGATGCCCCCCCCACACCAAAACCCACAGATGCTCAAGCCCCTTATATAAAATGGCAGAGTATTTGCATATAACGTGCTCACATCCTTCCGTACACTTTAAATTATCCCTAAATTACTTATAATACCTAATACAATGTAAATAGTTGTTACATTGTATCGTTTATGGAATAATGACAAGGAAAAAAGTCTGCACACGTTCAGTACAAATGCAACTATCATAGGTCTTTCGATCTGTGGTTGGTTGAATCAACAGCCGTGGACCCCGTGGATATGGAGGGCTGACTGTATAGAGATTATGGCATAATTCCTTCCCTCAAAGAGCTCACACTCTTATTTAAAAAATCTTGTATTACTGAAATAGTTTTAGACAAATTATAACATAATATTTTTGAAAACAAAACAATAAAATAATAGTACAGTTTATAGTAAAGTGAACAATGGGATAGAATCAGGTTCCACATGTCTCTAAAGTGCAATGGGAGATCAGTGCACTGAGATTAATGCTGGCTTCAAGCTAAAAAGGAAGCTTTGTCTTAGAAGATGTAGGCCTTTGAGAAATGATGGGGTTTGCGTAGAGAAGGCAAAGGCACTTGGCAAGGAATATGGAGGCATTGAAAAGATCAGTCTAGCTGGGAAGGAGTATATTGGATAGGGGTGAGAAAGACTGTCAGACCAGGATGGGACCTGAAGGGGAGAGTGGAGAGACAGATAAGAGAAGATAATATAGGGGCTGGCTCCGTGGCTGAGTGGGTTAAGTTCCCGCACTCTACTTCGGTGGCCCAAGGTTTCGCCAGTTCGGATCCTGGGCACAGACATGGCAGCGCTCACCAGGCCATGCTGAGGCGGCGTCCCACACAGCACAATCAGAGGCACTCACAACTAGAATATGCAACTACATACTGGGGGGCTTTGGGGAGAAGAAGAAGGGGAAAAAAAGAGAAGATAATATAATAAATTCCATGCACTTACTACAAGCCAAGCATTGTGCTACATGCTCTCATTTAATCCACCTAACAGTCTTATAAGGGAGATATTACAATTACTCCCATTTTAGAGTTAAAGAAACAGAGTGTCAGAAACTTTACATGAATTGCTCAACTTCACGCTTGGAGTTCAAACCAAAGTCTGTCATCTGTGCTCTTACCACTAAACCATTTGGAAGGATTTAGATTTTTTTTTTTTTGAGGAAGATTAGCCCTGAGCTAACATCGGCTGCCAATCCTCCTCTTTTTGCTGAGGAAGACTGGCCCTGAGCTAACAACCAAGCCCATCTGCCTCTACTTTATATGTGGGATGCCTACCACAGCATGGCTTGCCAAGCGGTGCCATGTCTGCACCCGGGATCCGAACTGGGGAACCCCAGGCCGCCAAAGTGGAACCTGTACACTTAACCACCACGTCACTGGGCCGGCCCCGGGATTTAGATTCTTGAGCAAGGAGAATAAGTTGATAAAAAGTAGTCTCGAAGGAAAATGAATTTCGTGGCAGTGAACAGGATGGGTAGGAGTGGGAAGAAACTGAAGGCAAGGAGACTCTTTAAGATGCTGGTAGAGTCCTCCTCCCCACCTCACTCCTGCCAACTCTGGGCCAACCCAGCTATCCATCGCCTCCATATCTGCATGTGAGCCATCAAGCACTGCTGGACACAGTTACACAAGAGGATGAATTAGTATTTCTATAAATTCATGATCTGCAACCCTAAATAAGTTTTTTCACACTGCCCAGTCCTACTGCCCTATTACTTTTCTCTGGCCAACTTATGCTCCTACTCTCTGCAGTAACTATTTCAAACCTTCCCCCTTCTCAAACTCTACCACCACGTGTTTATCAAGTAACCATGTCTCTTATTTCATAGGAAAAGATAACTGAAGTCATCAGATAGAAATTTAACTGTGCTAGCATCTCAGAAACCTTACACCAGGGGCCGGTCCAGTGGCATAGTGGTTAGGTTCATGCACTCCACTTCAGTGGCCCAGGGCTGGCGGGTTCAGATCCTGGGCACAGACCTACACACTGTTCATCAAGCCATGCTGTGGCAGTATCCCACAAACAAAATAGAGGAAGATTGGCAACAGATGTTATCTCAGGGCCAATCTTCCACACACACACACAAAAAGAAACCTTACACCAGCAGTCATCCTTCCTTTCCCTAAGGAGCCTTTCCCTATTGATCTAAAATGTGTTCCAATCTCTTGCAATAAAAAGTAAAAACCCCACATTCCTCTGTAGGTACTGTCCTCTCTCTCTCCTCCCCTCACGTTCAAACTTCTTTAAAGAAAGTTTACCTATACTGGCTGTCTCCATGCTCTCCTGCCCTTTTCTTTAGCTCACACTAATCTGGCTTCTGCCATCATCAATCAACTGAACAGCACCCACTAAGGCCACCAATGGCCTCCACATGCAAATAGTATGGATACTTTTTCAGTCTTCATCTTACTGGACCTCTCAAGAGCTTTTGACAGGGTTGACCACTCTCTCCCTCTTAAAATACTCTTTTCGTTGACTTCCATGACATAACGCACTCTTGGGTTTTCTCCTACTTTTCTGATCACTCCTTCTGTATCTCCTTTGCAGACCCATCCTATTCCACCTGGCCATTAAATATTAGAGTTCCCCAGGGCTTGGTCCCAGTACCTCTTCTCTTCTCACTCTATAGTTTCTTCACACCTAGGACTCCAATTTACATCTATACACAGATGAATCTCAAAGTTATATCTTTAGACCAGATCTCCATTCTGAGCTCCACATTTATATAACCAATTGCTTACTTGACATTAAAAACATTGACTCATAAACACCTCAAACTCAATATGCCCTAAGTTGAACTCACTATCTTCTCTCCAAACTGGGTCATCTTTCAGTATTCCCTCGGTGAATGGCACCTTCATACATTCAATTATTCAAGCCAAAACCCTCTCCCTCCGTCTCCTTCATTTTCTCTCTCACCTGCCACAGCAGACCCATAATCTTATCCTATGGATCTTATCTCCTAGATATCTCTTGACTCCATCTGTTTCTCTCCATCTCTGTCACTTGTCACCCTGACCAAGCCACCATCAATCTCTCACCTGGACTTCTGCAGTAACCTCCCGACTGGACTCTGCCTCTACTCTTGGGGCCCCTCCAATCTGTTCCATAATGCAATCAGAATGATCTTTTTGAAATGCAAATGTTATCATATCAAACACACACATTCACACACTCAGCTCCCTTTAGTGGCCTTCCCTTGCGCATAGGATTAAAACACACACACACAGTTTTTTTAGTAAAACCTATAAAGCTGTGCACAGTTTGGTCCCTACCTACCTCTCCAGCTTCAAATTGCGTGGTTTCCCCCCCGTTTTCTGAGCTTCAACCCGTCAGCCTCGTTTCCATCCTCCAATACTTGGCATGCTCTTTGCTACCACAAGATCACTGCATATGCTGTTACTCTGCTTAGAATGTTCTTCCCATCCTTCTTCATCTGATGTAGTTCTACTCATCCTTTAGATCTCAGCTCAAACATCACCTCCTCAGGGAAGCCTACCTTCTTTGGCATCCATGACTAGGTCAAACCAATCTATTCTTGGCTCTTTTTTTTTTTCAAAGATTTTATTTTTCCTTTTTCTCCCCAAAGGCCCCCGGTACATAGTTGTATATTCTTAGATGTGGGTCCTCCCAGCTTTGGCATGTGGGACACCGCCTCAACATGGCCTGATGAGCAGTGCCACGTCCGCTCCCAGGATCTCAACCGGCGAAACCCTGG